CTCTGAAAAACAAACAAGGTTCTAGAGGGGAGGGGGGTGGGAGGATGGGTTAGCCTGGTGGTGGGTATTGAGGAGGGCACATTCTGCATGGAGCACTGGGTGTATGCACCAACAATGAATCATGGTACACTTCATCTAAAACTAATGATGTAATGTATGGGGATTAACATAAGAATAAAAAAAAAAAGTGATAATTCATCTCAAAAAAAAAAAAAAAAAAGATAACTCCTAGCAACACCGCCACTGGTCATTTGTACATTCTGTCCAAAGCTTCTGCAACCTGAACCAACTCAGGCGTGATTGAGAAGTGAGGGAGAATCGGGGAAACCCAGATGTGATGTCACCATTTTTCTCAGCCAGCTGCTTCTTGCACCACCAAGGAACGGCAACTACCACGGAGGACACCACCACAGAAAACAGCCGCCGGGGAAATCCAGAGTCACATGCTCTCCCTTGCAGCCCATCTGTCTCTGTCCTAGAAGGACCATCTTGTTGTATTTGCCTCTGCCTCTGTTATTCAGTTTTACTGATACAACCTTCCAACTAAGTGAGACTTACTTATTTTTATTTTTTAAGGTAAAGTCCAAAATGTGGTGTATTTTATCTTAATTTATTCACGAAATTAGTTTTATTGGAATAGTTACTGTTTGGGACATTGAGCCCATTACATTGTTGGAGAAGTTCTGCGTGGCACGCCCCAAGCCATATTTCCCCCATAATCCCTATTACCTTTTAGGATATAATTTTAAAGAACAGAAAGTTTCCTCATAATATATTGTATTACACCAGAAATGCCAGCTGAGAAATATTCACAGAGAGATTGAAAATCTTATGAAATTATTTATACAGAGTTTCCTATCTTTAAGATTGGGCTGAACACTTAAGCCAAATACTGATGGTGTAGACACTCTGTACAGAAAGCAAATGGTTGGACTCCCAAAAATCGGCAACAAGTATTCACTGACAGCTGCTAATTTAAGTCTCTTACTGGTAGAAACTACGGCAGAAGAAATATTGTGTAGGGTCTTCGGGAAAGACTTTTCCAGCAGCAGGTAGCATAAGTGGAAAGGATTTTGCTTCTTTAGGAACCAGAACCAGGAACCCAAGCAATTGTCCCTTTCTCTGCATCCTTCAACTCTGCTCCAACTGAAGGATAAGCTCTTGGTCTTGATTCAAAAGTATAAATAGAGGAATAACACACCTAGTCCAGACTAGGTCAGATCACCATTGGTCCAAATCAACTGTTGTCGGTGATTTAAGAGCACATAATAAAAACACTGTCTCCAGGAACCATCCTCCATGTGGGGTGGGGCTCAGTTATCAGAAGAAAGGAGCTGGGAAGAAGCCAGAACACATCGGCCCCCACAAGGCCTCAGAAGACCTGCATCTCCTTCCCCCCCGGGGCTGGACTACTCCCCTCGGGACAGTGCCTTTGCTCTCTCGGTCTTTGGCCTAAAGGGTCACGTTTCCTATTGTGCTGCTGGGAAAACAGGGGCTCTGAGCACGAGTTAGGGATTGCAGAGCAGCTAACACTTCCCACAAGATGATGAAGACAAACAGCTTGAGGAACCCGTGCATTATTTTTTCTGTGCTGTGTTCCATAAGGTCTTACTTGGTATCATGTCTTCAAAAAAAAAAACAAAAACAAAAAACAAACAAAAAAAACCCACATTGTTTTATATGGTCTCTAAGGTCCCTTTAAGCTAAAAAAAAAAAAAAAAAAAATCCTCCGTTCTGATCCCCCACGATTACCACTTCGGTAGGCTGCTCGTTACCCCTTAAACACTCCCTTCAGACGATGGTGCTTTGGAGAAGGAAGGAAAGCAGTCCCAGCAGAGCTGAGGCCGGGTTCTGATAAGTGGGACCCCCCGTGTGGCTGACACCAACACCGAAGAGCCTGACACACACGGGGGCAGGAGGGAGGTTTGATCTCGGAGAGTTGGCCCTTCAGGACTCTGCTCCGAGAGGAGCGGAAAGGACCTCAGGGCCACGTCCAGGACTTGGTGAGCGCACCACCAGACAGACACCTCCCACGATGGTGCCCTCCCGGCCAGAACACGAGGACCGAAGGTGCTACCAGCAGAGACACGGCCGATCTCACCTGGTGACGGCACGAAGTCACACACGTTTACACCTCCAGTGTGTCCCACCAAAGACTGGTTCTTATCCAAGACCGTCCCCACAAAAACCATCTGCTCCTGCCCCAGAACAACGCGTGTCCCTGTCCCACAGGGTATCCCTTCTCCAGACTCCTCCCCGCCCTGGCTGTCCTACCCACCTGGAGCTCTGCAATCCCTGGGCCAGGTTCCCAGCCCCAACACATGTGCTTTGGACCAGGGGCGGCGCTCCGTAGGATCTTGAAATACATATCAGAACCACCCACGGACCCTTCTCTTCAGAGAGGAGGATGCATGTTCTTGCTCCAGGATGTTCTATGCCTAGAGACTGCCCCATGGGTGACAGCAGGACAGAATCTGCCCACAGCTGTGAAGGACTTTGTGGCTTCTCTAGCTGCCCCTCAAGTGGGACAGAGACATCATCCGGCTTGATGCGGAACAAAGGCTTTCCTGCCCATGTCTGTGGGAGAGCAAAGTAGAGGAAAGAAGTTGCATGGCTTGGAACAAACACAAAGACCTCTTCTCTCACTTCTCTGTACAAATGAGGTAACCACACGTCCCACTCTGCCCCTTAGCGCTCCCCCAGGCTGTGGGTTCCCTGCCTGTGCTCTGAGCAGCCTCTATTCCCTCAGACCAGAACTCAGGCACCGCCCCGGGCAACCTCTCGCTTCCTGGGCAAAACCATGGCGGGTGGTGAGCACCGGGAAACAGCAACAGCTTCTCGTGTCTACTCACTGCTGTGCTTGCAGTTGAGCCGCCCAGACATGTCCATGGAGAGGGTGTGGGAAGCCACCGCCCCAGGGCCTTGGTGGCCAGGATGTGACTGTCTCAAGACCTCCCCCTTTCTGCATTTATACCCACAGCAATGGGGACATCCCAGCTGGTATGTGAATGTGGATGGTTTCCCAGACTCAGCCCCTCAGGCCAGGAGTCTGGGCTCCAGAGTCAAGGCAGCAGGATCATTCCAGAAGAGGGGAAGCCATGAGGCTACAAAAGGCTCTTGAGCCTGCCGGTGTTCCAGCTCTGTGAGAAAATGTTTGCCAGCCTGGAAACAAGGGGCGGCCGGTTGTGTTTCCCAGGTCCCGCTACCTTGGGTGGCCATTCTTGGAAAGCCAGGAGGTAAACCACCGAGCCAGAAGGAAGAAGGTCTTCACCTCCATTTTATGGAATGAACGTAGCTGCCCTCCACCCGGGGGCTTTGACAGGTACAGCCTAGACTCGGACCCTCCAGAGGAGTGGAGGGAGCAATCAGTCAGGCCAACGATGTTTCACAACCACAGCAGGAAGCCAAGATTCAAAGCTTTACCAGGAGAGGAAGCAGAGTGGTTCCCCGACAGTGTGGGTTACCCATTGGACATCCGTGTTACTGCAGGGCTTGGCTCGGGGTGGGGGGGTGCAGATCCAAAGTCAAGGACGATGGGCAGGACAGAGGAATGGGCATGACTCCCCCTCCCCCTCTCCATTGCTCCCGTGCTAGGGCTCTGGAAACAACGTGAACAGAGCACCCACGCTTCAGGGGCAAACACATTTGAGCATCGGAACGGGACAGGCATTAGAGGTCACCCAGCTCCAACACCTCAGAGACATCAGGTGACCGGACCGAAACCACACAGCCTGGCGGGCCTGCCTGGTCCAGTGCCCTCGCCCTTACGATGGCCTCCTGGGAGGACCCACAAAGTGCAAGGACTCTGGCCACTTTGCAGGCCAGGAGCCAGGAACAGTGATGAGCAGGGTCTGCTGGAGAACACTGGCTAACAGAGAGCAGGTCTGAGGTACGCCTGCTGTGCGGCCATCTTGCCCAGTGCTGACCCGAGGACCCCCCGGCCCCACCCTCCCCTCGAGGACTCTGGATTCAGCCTGTTCCACCCTCTTCTTCAAAGACCCCTCTCGGTCTCTCAGCTTCTCACTCGACAGGCTACAGAACCTGTGTCTCCTGAGCTCCACTCTGGCTGTTTGCCCTTCCCTCTCCAAGAAAATGCACAGACTTCACTTGAGGTTTTTGTTTTTGTTTGCTACAATAAACAATGAAACAGACATCGGAAATACAAATTACTGACATGAGAAGTGCGTGAACCCTGATAAAGCACGCACAGAAAGAGTTGCCCAGATTCTCTCGAGACTCTCTCTTTGCAGACATCATTCTGTGTAGTTTTATGATTTTGCACTGTACTCCCTGATAGGGTCACTTCATCATCTGTTGGTAATTTCCACGGAAGGCAGGGTAAATTCTGTAAACTTGTTTGGTTCACTCAAGACCCACACCTCCACATCCTAGCTCCCCTTCCTGATCTGCCATACCTGGGAAGCAAAAGGGTACATTGCCCAGATCTTTTGCCGCCGAGTTTGCACGTGTGACATTAAGTTTAGCCAACCAGTAACTCTTACAAGACAGCTGGGTGCACAAAGCCCTTGCAAGTGAATCGGTCTGCAGAGCTTCCGCTTCCGTGTGAGTCAGTCCTTGAGCTGAGCCATCTGAGCACATTTGTTCTCAAGGCAGCTCCGAGGCTGTCCTCTCCTACCTCCTGTTTCACCATAACAAATGAGGAGCATCTGCCACCCCTTAGCTTCCAGACTGATGAGCTTTGAACTATATACCCTTCTCTTTCCTCCAATGTACGGAGAAGTTTAATCATGATGTCTAATGAAGTTAATGGGATGACTTCTGATATTAACCCATGATTCTGACTTACCTGCCTCCAAAAGCCAAACCCCAGTTCTCACACATTTGCAGAAGAAATATTATGCCTTTTATGATATCGTTTCATAAAATTTTCGTCTCACACCACATTGGATTATTACAAACTCAGCAATAAGAAAGAGCACAGTTGACATGTTATCTGATTTTTATAATTTATTATAAAAGTTAATAATCACATTCGATCGACATCATTTTAATCTGGACTTTACTGATTGTAGTAATCTATATCACAAGATTCTTTCCATAAGTTATTTCTTAATGGTTTGTACAATAGCCTTTGGAAATACAAATCTAAGCAGTAAAATATATTATTTGAAAATTAATCATTCATAAACCAAACATACATTGTTATTGGCATATATAAAATTAAAATTTAGTTGTATATTAGTTATGATAAAAAAAATCTTGTGATGCAAATTTTTCCAATATCTGAATAATATCATTAAAACTCCAGTAAAATTTCACCTTTGGATATAAAAAAAAAAAATTTGTAATAGGATGTTGTGAAAGGTTGAATTGTAACCCTCCCAAAAAAAACATACATATTGAGGTCTGAACCCCCAACATCTCAGACTGGGAACTTATTTGGAAATAGGGTTGTTGCAGATATTATTAGTTATGTTAAGATGAGGTCATCCTGCAGGAGAAAGGGGAACCCTCCTACACTGTTGGTGGGAATGCAAGCTGGTGCAGCCACTTTGGAAAACAGTATGAAGGTTCCTCAAAAAGTTGAAAATAGAGCTACCATATGACCCAGCAATTGCACTACTGGGTATTTACCCCAAAGATACAAACGTAGTGATCCGAAGAGGTACATGCACCCCAATGTTTATAGCAGCAATGTCCACAATAGCCAAACTATGGAAAGAGCCAAGATGTTCATCAATAGATGAATGGATAAAGAAGAGGTGGTATATATATACAATGGAATATTATGCAGCCGTCAAAAAAACCCGAAATCTTGCCATTTGCAACAACGTGAATGGAACTAGAGGGTATTATGCTGAGCAAAATAAGTCAATCAGAGAAAGACAAGTATCATATGACCTCACTGATATGAGGAATTCTTAATCTCAGGAAACAAACTGAGGGTTGCTGGAGTGGTGGGGGTGGGAGGGATGGGGTGGCTGCGTGATAGACATTGGGGAGGGTATGTGCTATGGCGAGTGCTGTGAATTGTGCAAGACTTTGAATCACAGACCTGTACCCCTGAAACAAATAATACATTATATGTTTAAAAAAAGAAGAAGAAGAAGAAGAAGATAGCAGGAGGGGAAGAATGAAAGGCGGGAAATCTGAGGGGGAGACGAACCATGAGAGACTATGGACTCTGAGAAACAAACTGAGGGTTCTAGAGGGGAGGGGGGTGGAGGGATGGGTTAGCCTGGTGATGGGTATTAAGGAGGGCACGTTCTGCATGGAGCACTGGGTGTTATACGCAAACAATGAATCGTGGATCACTACATCAAAAACTAATGATGTAATGTATGGTGACTAACAACATAATAAAATAATATTAAAAAAAGAAGACGAGGTCATCCTGAAGCGGGGTGGGGGGGGGTTGCTGATCCATCCAATACGACTGGTGTCCTTATAAGAAGATCCAGCTAAGGACCACCAAAGACCAACAGCAAACCACCAAAGGCCAGGAGGCAGCAAGGAATGCTCCCCATGGGATTTCCAGGGCCCCAGCCCAGCTGTTGCCTCAGTTTCAGACCTCCAGCCTCCAGAACTGGGCGATATCCATTTCTGTTTTCAGGCACCCAGCTCCCGGTGCCTTGTGACAGCAGTCCTAGGATACGAATACAGAAGTATTTGATTTCAGGTTTGAACCCCACTGTCACTTTCTAGTAAAAGGCGTTGATGTTGTATATTGTTTAAAACTGTTGAAATTCGCCAGGCTGTGGCTAAGATTCCTCCTTAGGAATCAGAATCTTGAAGAAAGCAGACATGAGGATTCCGTCGGACACAGAAAAGCAACAGTTTGGGGTTTTTATGGGAGACGCAAGCTCTAATAAAAATATAATGGAAGTTTTTCAACAAGGACAATCAAAGTAGAATTGAAAGCAAAACACCAATACTTACACATAATGACTCTCACCTATAACATGTATTTCTCATAACGACAATTCTGCTTTGTGATCCTCATCATAAAACACTGCCAAACAACAGAATGAAAACATCTAATGTGATGTACAGTAATTTATTTATAGAACATTCAGACTGTAAAATTAAATGAATTAATTCTTTGTGAGGAAAGCTACTGGTAAAATTACCAGTAAGCTTCACATTTTTATACACACACACACACACACATACGCACTTCATTCTAGGTGTGAATAAAATTGAGTTCTTACAGAGCCGTGAAAACCAAGAGACCTACCAGAAGGCCTTCGCTCTCACTGAGCATTAGGACCGAGGATGAGGACAGCCGCGTTGACCCCCCTGTCCACCCCCCGCCCCAGATTGACCTTAGCCCGCCTCCGTACAGCTTCCAGCGGTGTGAGGCTCCTGTGGAAGGTTTCCAGCTTTGAATCAAAGCTATGCTTTCATGTGTCTGCGTCAGACCAGTCGAGTCGTCTTGTGGAGTCCACCGTCCTCATGGAGCTAACTTCTCAAATGCTTTATGTAACACCGTTTGTGCTCATTTGCATGCCTGGTGCACCTGCTCTCTGACACTCATCTGGCTCTGTGCGGCAGACGACCCCTCTAATAAGAAACGTAACCAGGGGCACCTGGGTGGCTCGGTCGTTAAGCGTCTGCCTTCGGCTCAGGTCATGGTCCCAGGGTCCCGGAATCGAGCCCCGCATCGGGCTCCCTGCTCAGCGGGGAGCCTGCTTCTCCCTTTCCCTCTGCCCCTCCCACCTCCCTACTCATGTTCTCACTCCCTCTGCTCTCTCTCTCTCAATAAATAAATAAATAAGCTTAAAAAAAAAAACCCTAACCAGAAGGGCCTGCTCTCTTGTGGAAAATCCCTAGGCTTTGGAGATCGCATTCATATAAGAGTCATGGGAATAGACACATATTAATGTGGCTCCTTTTCTTCGTGGGGGAGAAGGGGGACTCCTCATTCCCTTTAAAGGGGGGGAAACACTGGTTTTCAAAGATGAGACTAAACCTTTATCTTGAATTTCACACGAGTACTTGCAACGAGGGAGGTGTTTAGACCTTCCGTGTTCACTTCAGAGTACTTTCCGTGGGTTCTTGCACAGGGAACCCTTGGCTCACCTGGTGGCTTCTCCAGCCGGATTTGCATTAATCCTTCCTGAGACTGGACGGTTTTCTGCTTTTTATGGGTGCCATTCTTCACAGGTATTAAAGCTAAACCCTCCGCTCCCTCACCATCAGCCTTCAGTGAGTGTGCGTCCTCGTTGTCAGGAATGTGGGGGGATTAACACTTTGACTCTTCAATGAGATACCGGTTTGAAGATCCCCTTAGAGCGAGAGGAGCACATATTAATTTGTGCGGCTATTGCTTCTCGCTGGTCTTCGATGTCCCAGGATTTGGAAGAGGTTCGATTCTAATGCTGGCGTGAAGATTTAGAATCCGTAGCAATCAAAACAATATCCTTCTGGCTCATTTAATGATGACTGCCATGTCCCTGCAGATGGCACCTCCAGTGCTGTCTTCAGTGACCCACACGGGTGCTTGGGCCAGTCGCCAGCGGCAGCCCCACGTTCACGTGTGGCAGCTGGGGGCAGAGAGGACCCAGTCAGTTCCCATTTAAATCGAGTTTTCAGGGCTGGTTTGAGTCAGCTCGCTCACTAGTGTAACTATTTTTCCAGTGAAAAGTAGAAAATCTTGCATAAATATGGAAAGGGTTATGCTCCTGGAATACTGTTAATGGGGAAAAGATTTTATATGCCAACTCTGTCACTGCCATTAAATCAAGTCCATGTTCTGATAAAATTGTAGTCTGTATTGTGAATGAAATGACAGAATAATTACGGTGACAATAATGATAATTATACCAAGAAGCCTTACAGACACCGTTCTAAGCGCGTTGCCATATTAACCTGGTTAGTCCTTACAATTCAGGGTACGTGCATTATCCCCATTTTACCAGATGAGGACACTGAGGCACGAAGAAAATTGTGCACCAGAGTATGGAAAAGATTGTGGTAGATTAATGTCCCATGACTTACAGATAGGAAAACCCACAGATGCTTCCAGTCAATACATTGTGTCCACATTTACAGAGAACAAAATGTATGCAAAGAGTGTCCTGGTGATGTTATTGTTATAATTTGGAAACTCTTAACCACACGGGATCTGGCCTACACTAAGAATGGGACTAGGGTCTCCACGGACAGAACTATTGTCCAGGCCAGCTTCGTGGGGGTCACACAGGGCCCTGCTCTTCGAGGGTCCCTGCCTAGAAGAGTCCATATGCCAGCCTTAAGTCTTCATCGTTGCCATCTTGAAATACTTAACTTTTGAACAAGAGGCCCCAGATTTTCACTTTGCACTGAGCCCTGCAAACGATGTAACCCATCCCGATTGTTACAATGACTATGCAGGAATTAAGTTTCATTCCTTTCATCCATACTTTAAACATTGCTTTAGCTTGGGAACAAGATTTTATTGATAAACAAGGCTTGTTTACAAAAAAAAAAAGGCAAAGTTCTGACTTATAGGGAGTAACGGATGTTGCCATTTAAATTGTAAATATTATAAAATCAAGGGAGTTAAACTTGTCATCTTTTTAAATTGATGTGAGAGGAAATGGGATCCTCTCATCCCAGCTAGTCACTGTGTTCAGAAGTGAGCTGGTTGTCATGGAAATGCATAATAGCATGTTTATTTGGGTTAAATATGAAGTCAGACTTTTTCTGACAGAAGAGAAGTTGATTTGGCTGATTTGTTTGACAATGAAGAGTGGTTTTGCTCATTAGAAAGAGTAAACATAGGCCTCGTTTGTGCCCAGGGGAATCGTTTATGCATGTTGTCCTAGCATGATAACTGACGGCCCACCATCATTAGGTTATATGGAGGATAACTTTCACACAGAGTTAAATCTCCAAGGCGAAGATTTTTTTACTGCTCCCCCTAGAAAGTATATAATAAATGTATGTTATCAAAATATTATATTAACACCAGTGTGTTAAAATTAATATTCCAAAATTTTCTAAACCTTTCTATGTATGTCGGGTTAAACAGAGATTTCTAAAGGGCAATGGATAAAATTAAGGGTCACTCGATAAGTCTTGATAAAGTCTTTTCAGTATAAATCAGAGAAATTGGAAATTAGGGAAATAAATCCATTTGCAAGTCAGGCGGTTTTTAAATGTCTTGTTCAACAAAGTTAAGGAGAATCGAATCAGGGGCTAGAACCTCATACGTAAGTTTCCTGACAGAGAATTTGTGACTTGGGCCATATAACTTGGAAGGAGCTCAAAGGATTAAGCATGGATCGGGATGCGGCGTGGGCTGTTGACCCCGGGGGTTTAGGAAGTCAAGCAAAACTAGCCATCACATTTCCTTAGACGAGGAGAGTAATCTTTGTGTACTTCCTACCATAAAATGTAATCCCCTCACTCAAGACTTGAGGCAAATGGAGTTTCTCTTCCTTAAAGCCAACGGAGCCCAGAAGCTAAGGAAGTGCTGAAAAGTGGTAAGTAATAACCCACAATGAGAAGGGGGGTGTCAGAGTGACACGAGACCCAACTTCATGAAAGAGTTCGAATAATTGCAGCAACAAAATAAAGCAGCATTGGATTACAGCCTAAGATGTAAAATAAATATCTATGAGTTCATAGTGATATAAATCGAGGATTCAGTAAATAAATATGTGGGAGAAGAGACAGACATCTCACGCAGAGGAATTCCAAATGACTTTACATACACACTCCCCCCTCGAGGAGGAGACAGTTAGGAGAGGTTGGGGGGGTGACCCCCCTCCAGATGTGTGGGCCCTGCCCTGTGTCCCCCTTCCAATGAGCAGGGAGGCGGGGAGGCGGGGTGGGGAGACACCCACAAACACCACCTCTGCCAGGGGGCTAAGTCAACACTGACAGTCACAGATCATGTCACAGTTTTGTGCCCCGGCTGTAATGTGATGAAAGTGGTACTTCCCCTCTGATTTCAGCCGCCCCAACCCGGCAACCACAGTCCAATCATGAGAGGAATGCCCCACGAATGCCCATCACGGAGCGCACTACAATATACTGACCAGCACTCTAACACTGTCAGGGCCATCAAAAACCAGGAAGGTCTGAGGAACTGTCACCGCCCAGGGGAGGCTGAGGAGATTCGACAATAAATGTCATGTCACCTTGGATGCAATCGTCCAATAGAAAAAGGACATTCAGGGGCGCCTGGGTGGCTCAGTCATTAAGCGTCTGCCTTCGGCTCAGGTCATGGTCCCAGTGTCCTGGGATCGAGCCCCGCATCGGGCTCCCTGCTCGGCGGGAAGCCTGCTTCTCCCTCTCCCACTCCCCCTGCTTGTGTTCCCTCTCTCGCTGTGCCTCTCTCTGTCAAATAAATAAAATCTTTAAAAAAAAAAAAAAAAAGAAAAAGGACATTCAGTAAAAACTAAGAAAATCCGAATAAACCAGGGGCTTTGGGTAATAATGATGCATCAATATTGGTTCATTAACTGCAACGAATGTACCTATTAAAGTACAAGGTTCATAGTAGGGGAAATTGTCAGGGGTAGGGAGTATATGGGGAACCCTTTCTACTATCTTCCCAATTTTTCTGTAAATCTAAAACTGTTCTAAAATATAAAGTCTATTATAAAAAATAGTGATAATAAAAATGAATGGAGCTTAACAATCAGAATATCTATCATTATTTTATCATCTTTATTAAACTGGGACAAATTTCTACCTTTATATCTAATAATAATGTATACGAAATACAGCATATGGCGGAACATATTAAGTTTTACCATGGGGATCCAATCAGTAAAAAGACCATATTTATTTATTTGAGGTGGGGAGGGACGGGGGAGAGCGAGAGAATCTCACTCAGACTCCCCACTGAGCGTGGAGCCAAGGGGAGGCTCCATCCCAGGACCCTGAGATCATGACCTGAGCCAAAACCAAGAGTCGGATGGCTTAACCGACTGAGCCACCCAGGCTCCCCGACCCAGTTTCTTCAATAAATTACAAGGGGAAAGATGACAAACAGGGAGCCTATGCAGAGGTTTAAGAGACATATAAACCAATGAAATGTGAGGACCGTATTTGGGTCCTGATTTAAACAACCAAACTCCCCTGTCCCACTTTGCTCACTGTCTCACCTGGGCATTCTCATTCACCTGCCTGACAAACTATCTGCACCCAAGCCCATGTCTCAGGGTCTACCTTTGGAGAATAAACTTAAAATAATTTTTTTTTAAATAGAAGAAGAAAACTAAGTGTTCCATTTCCAGTTCTTGGCTGCACATAGCCTTGGAATTAAGCCCAGCTCCCCCTTCCCCAGCCCCAAAAGACATCAGTCAGTAGGGATCAAGATGAAGGAACTGAGCCTTTCCTATTCTCTTCTTTTTGGGGCTTTCAGAAGAACCAGTGTTTGTGGACAAGAAAGAGGAGGGGGTGTAGGAGGGGGAGGAAGGAGAAAGGTAGACATGCTCTAGAGGCTCCTATGGGTACTTTTTTTAGTTTATTAAGATAGAGGACACTGGAAGTTGGAACCACAGACAGAAAGAGAAATGAAGAGCCTGGGAAATGTGAATGGGACATTACAATTTATTTGTGCATTTTTGTGACCCTGATTGTTTCTTAAAACTAACTCAGAGCCATTTCTCTTAGAGAGACTACTGCTGCCAGATAATGAATCAGGTAATTCTTGCATCTGCCCTAACCCTCCTGTAGTTATTCATCAAAAGACTGTCTTCTTCCTGATTACAAAAAAGATTCAGTAGAAAAGATCCTTTAATGAGAAATCAGGGAGCACTATCACCCTTCCAGGTCCTGCTGGGTGGCAGACACTGGGACAAATCACTGAAGCTCTCGGACCTCAGCGTCCTCATCTGTGAAACAGGAACTTTGCCCCGTAAGGTTTGAGACTCTCTTCAGTTTCAAGAATCCTACAGTGCTATTATTGTTGGTGAGCAAACCCTCTTAAGGAAGCTCATTCCTCTCAGGAACGTATCTGCCCCCCCACCCTCCCCGGGTTCCCAGTGGGCTGGAGAGGGAGGAGCTGACCCCGGTGCGGACCCCCCCACTGCACAGCCTGAGCCCCCCTGTGGGAGGAGTCAGCGCCCCCCAAGCTGCAGCGGGATTGGGGACAGCCCAGCCGGCTCCAGCCCCCCAGGCCAGGCAAGGGACACAGGCAGGCCCCGTGCACCGGCTTAGCTGCTCCTGGGACCAACCACCTCAGAGGCTGCCTCCCCATCACCTCCCTCCAAAGACTGGCCCTTGATGAGGTCCCACCGAAGGCAGCCTGCTCTGGCTCCAGGACTCCTCGCAACGTCCTGTCTTAGAGTCTTCCTCTCCGGAGGGCTTCCCTGGGGACAGACTTCACCGGCACCGGAGCGGCTGTGAGCCAGGGAGATAGAACACGGGAACATGGGATCCTCGTGATTCTTGAGAGCCCCCCACACGCGCACAACCGCGCACACACCGCCCACATGCACACATGTGCACACGCATGCACGCACACGGACATGCCCACACCCACACACACACATGCAGAGAGACATGCATAGACACGCCCACACACATACCCAGGAATATGGTGCAC